CAAGTACATTATTTCCCTCGAGACAGGAGAATAAAGTGGCATGAAATTAAAAATAAATGATTAAGAAATGAAATGCAAAGTGTAAATGTATACTTAGGTACAGTAGTAAATGCAGTTAATTCCACCACTTGATAGGTCTATAAATATTTTAAAAACCTTTGCTGGATGTCAGTGTCAGAATCAAATGTAAAATCTAGGCAAACTATGACCTCTCTTTAAACGTAGATAGAAACCTTTATTTAATCAAGGGAAAACCAACTGAGAGCAAAGGTCAGTTTAACAATAAAAAGTGCAAAAAAAACGTTAAAGCAACGTTCTTGTACAAAACAAGACAACATGAACGCAAGACAAATAGAACTAAAAGACAGTAAAAAAAAATACGTTACAGGGACAAAGCAGACACATTAAGAAAAACAGGAGAATTCTTCATATAAAATAACATTTAGAAGAAACTAAAACCGTTCTATGGATAAAAAATAGTCTAACTTAAGGGAGTCCTGAAGCTTATTCTGCCCATGGGGAGCATAAAAGGTGAAAGCAATTATGGCTAAGTCTTAAAAGTGATGATAAATGCTGGTTTATTAAATATAGCATTAGTTATCACTCCTAAGTGATGGCCATCCTAGCTAGTAGTACAGTAGCCAGTAATGCCCTTAATTCCACCACTTGATACGTCTATACATATTTTACAGTGTGTATGAACTAAGATAAACTCTATCAAAAGTAATATACTGATCCTTTCCAAATAAGGAGGATTGATTGACGTTACCTTGGTGTGATATGAGGATGCAGCCACTAGGTGGCAGCAGAAGCATCCTTATCACCCTCTGATTTTATAGACTCCAACTGTGGCAAAAGGGTAAAAGAAAATAAATTCCTACAAAGCGGAGTCTGCCTGCTTCTCATTAAACGTAAGTTACACCATAAATAATCCAATCATTGTGGCTAAAAATTTAAATAAACACTGCGTCCTCTTGTCTTCATCCAGCTGCAGTCTATGACATGTTTTATGTTTGTTGTTGATTTAAATCTTTCTGCGCACATTAGATCAATGGCTAGGTGGTTTAGAAAGAAATAATGCATCAATAATAAGAACCACAGAAGCTCATGTGAGTATTTTTTTTATTGACCTCTTTTTAAAAACTCTTTGGTGCATTTTCTAACAGCCATTTGGTTTGTTGGTTTTTTTTCATACCGTTTTTTTTTTTAAAGATAAATGTACCATACCCTGCAGGAGCTGTGGGATTTGTAGACAGAATGTGGAAATAGCTTTAGCCTATATGAACGTCTGCACTCACAATAATATTAATACAATTTATATCACATTCGTGTTAAACTTCCATTCATTAAGACCCTACAGCAGACTTATTTTCTTAAGGAACACAAAATAGTTCACACAGCTGGTCTTAATGCATAATACAGTCAAAGACTTCAGTAAATGGAATTAAAATAATCTTTTTTGAAATATGAAGATTTTAACGTTGTTTTTATTATTTCTTTTTAATTATTTAAAATTATATTGTTTAATGCTGATGATGATGACTGTATGTTATGGCAGGTGTTGCGGCTGCAGGTCAGAAAGGTGAGGTTATTTTTCTCAGAACAAGATATGTAAGCTGCATTCTCAACCACATCGTGAAGACACTTTGATCTGTTCATTAGTTTAAGCTAAAGTATTTGGGAGATCAGATAACAAGAGCCATTTTAGGCCTTAAAAAGCTTCAGTGGCTTTTGAAAGCAGATTCTTTTGGTCAGCCTGGGGCGATGTGGCTTTGGGAGTGGAATTACCTCATCTTGAAATTTCCTCACGTCTTTTTTTTTTTCTTCACCTTTTCCTTAACTTTAATCTCTGTGACATTGTTTCTTTTTTGTTACTCAACACTGGCAGATAATTATGAGATTAATTCGATCTCGGTTATGGATTTAATTATGCGGATCCTGGCCTATATGAATCTTTCATTGTTTCAATATAAAGGCCTATGTGATGATTTTTAATAGGCTGCATTTGTGCGCGCATTTTCTCACCAACATAACAAATTCAGGTTTTCACCGGGGAACTATAGATGGATTGTTTTGATTTATCCCACTCAGGTGTATTACACTACATGGCGCATGCGCACTACGCGGCCGTCAGGTGAAGTCGGCAATGTAAACCTCTCATGGTTTCACTCTTTCGCTGCGTCTCAGTTGGATTGCTGTGACTAGAGCCTTGCAGATGTCTGTACTGGAGAGGATAGACTGGAGGGTGAGTTCACTGTTTTCCTCTTACAGCTGACTTAGTTCAACCCAACCTGCATCATGTTTATCGCTGTCTGCTGCTGAGTCTATATTCGTTTTATTACTTTCCACATTAATCACCTGTTGTTGTAATCGCGCAGCGCCGTCTGCGCTTTTGAATAACCCGTGATAAATGCCAATAAGGCCAAGGCTTTATTCACTCAGTAATTAGGTTTTAGGCTACTGGATTACAAACCAGATGTTTATGGTCGAAACTGAAATAAGCTTTCAATAAAATAACAGTTATAGGCATAAACTATATTTGTTTTTTCCTCTTTGGTGGTTTCTACTTAATAACCACAGACGAATTCGTTTCCCCTTATTATGACTGATTGGAATTATAAAATGTATAAGAGAAAAGAGACCTAAAGGAACAGAGGGATAGTCGCTAACCTCACCACTGAGTGACCTAATGCCATACAGCAATACGCTATATAGGCTACATGGAGGCCTGTATAGGTTACATAATATAGACTGTTTAAAGTAGGCCTACGTGAATATAACCTGAATATCATAGTGGCCTTTATTAAGAGCTATATGTGGTACTTGTTAGTATTCAGTATAAATAAGAGACGAATTTGGGATTTCAATGGGATTTATTGTGAAAAGCCTTCAATATAATTTCTTACAGTGGGCTATTGACGCCATATCTCTGACAAACCAAACTAAAAAAAAAATCATTAACTGGACTCCTCATTGATTTATGTGACTTTTTTTTTTTTTTTTTTGTCCGGGCATGGATCCATTTTAATATTTACACCTGACATCAGCTGAGCCGGTTTGTCCCTGCAGTGTCATTACAATGACAAGCCGAGCATCAGGATTGTCCAAAACATCACCGACAGGCCAAGCGTGACTAACTTCCTTTAGGTCTGCTCAGTGTCTCTTCCAACGTAAAATAACATTTAATCAGCGCGCATTTCACTTCGCATCACAACAAGCCAAGGACCAACACGCAAAAAAAGATAATCCTCAGTCAGCCCATGTCCTGTTGTTCCCATGGACAGCCGATCCGCACAGCGTGGGTGGACGGACGCCACATGCTGTTTTCCTAAAAGACAAAGGTCTGTCCAATAATCTCACAAATTATAATCTGACATTTGGTAGGTACTTTTTAAATGATACAAAACCAGTTAATGAAATGACACCAAATGGTGGACACACAGCAGGCCCACGCTCTGTTAAAGGAGGAGATACTTTATCATGCTGAATTGATTTAGTTCAGTTTTAGTCCAATTTATTGCAGCAATTTTGCTCAAATACAGTGGACTATAACTTAAAATAATGAATAGTTAGGATACAAGGATAGGAGGTTATTTAATTGTAATTTTACTACGCAGGGTCGTTAGGTCGTTATAATTTAAAAAAATACAACAACAACAAAAAAAAGCTCTTTTGTCCTCACTTTGGGATTTGATGCATATCAAAGCTTCAAGGCAGCCTTGTTTTGGACATTGCAAAGCTCCACCAAAAATGTAAATGAAGTTAAGAAAGACTTGTTTGTTGAGATCCTTTGAGCTTTAGAGGTTTTTGCAAAACCCTCGGGCTTATTGTGGTTTGAAACAAGCACTTAACCACCACTGTGAAACACCGACATTAAAATGTCATGGGTTCATTTGAATGCCTATTATTCTATATAGGCATTCAGATCGGAGAGATGCAATATCTATTTTCAGCTCAAAAATTAAACAAAGTCGGTTTAAGTCGGTAAAAGGGAAGAGCAAGTCCAGCTGCAAAGTGGCATGCGTGAAGAGCATACAGTACGAGCCATTGTCCTACTTCTTATAACAATAAATGCGAACTACGAAAAAAATAAATAATAATAATAATAATAATAATAATAATAATAATAAAGTGTACTAATTTAAAACCCTGAACACTTTAACTGATTATGTATATTGCTGTATCCTGACTTTAACATCAGCAATAGAATTAATAGGTTTTATAGCCTTACTAAAATACTCATCATCAGTGCTCTGTAAAAAATAAATGCATTTTTCTGTCATAGAAAAAACAAAATTCTAGAATATCTCGAACCCAGCAATGTGATTGGCCGAGAGGCATTCCACCGGGCGGGGCGTCATAACCTCACCATGAGGCACTCGGTAACCTAGCAACCCTCCACTACAAAATTACTTAATCCGAGTTCTGGTACACATTGCATCAGACTGGTAATTAACGTTAAATAAAGAAATATTGCATGTATTATACATGTTTTTGTTCCCAATAATCGGTTAATACAAATTGTGTCCTTAATAATCGGATGGATATTTTATTTGGATTTATTTGTTGTGCTTATTTTTGAACGATAACTTTGAATCTCTTCGTTAACCATCGAAGCCAGCCTATGTCTCTTAGGAATAATCTTAAAACAACACCTACAAGTGTCCTGCACGTTTAAAAAGCCCTGCCTTCAAGTTACTGATGGGGTTTGAGGAGATTACAAAAACAAACGCAGTACAGGTGGTGACAGACTCCCCTCACTGTCAGCCACCAAAAGTGGGCTTAAAAGTAAAGCCAGTGGGCTTAAATGTCTGACACCGTACATACGGACAGAAATCCGATTGGACCGTTTCACCGCCAATCAGCAACATTTTTCATTTTCCCTTTCCACTGACATCACGGGGCCACAGAGACGCCCACTCGGAGCGGCTGTGCAGATATAGCACAGTGTTCATGCGCCAATAAGACTGAACATCGCTGCTCCGTCCATAAGAGGGAGTCAAGTTATATGCAGAGAGTTTTCGCCCACTTCCACAACAGATCCCACAGAGCGCACTGACCGGACAGAGAGAAAGGGGGGGGGATATTTCTTGGCAGCGATCATTTTCTCTCATAGTGGCTGTGGAGACTCATATCTGCGGTTGGATAGTCAGTCGGTCGGTCAGTTCGCCCCTTCAGCCTTCACCCGCAACTTCGTCTCTTCGCCGCAGCTGACGAACAAGGGGGTTCATGATCACCAGGAAGCTCTTCATTTCTTCATACCTGGATTAACTCTGCAGACGGCAATATTTTTCTTTTTATTTCTTTGCTGTTGTTTTTTTTTTCTTCTAACGGAGAACACCCTTTTTCTCTGTCAAAATGTTGTGGAAATTAGCCGACAACGTGAAATATGAGGATGACTGTGAGGTGAGTTTCGATAGAAGGGGGGGAAAAAAGCGCCTTTTGATTAACATGGACAACAAAAAGTTTTGCCATTCAACAAGAAGAGTGACTATGGGTTGTTTTTTGTATCATATGATAATGAGAAAGATAATAGGAAATCGTAAAACATAACAATGACAGCATGAGCACTGAAACAGCTAAAAAAAAAAGTCAATTTTGCAAACAAAAAAGTTGAGAGACGCCAACTGCAAAAGCAAGATGTAATTTTCAGAATAAAAGTGTAATAATTATTTCTATAACAACAGCACTAATAGATAGAAAAAAAAAACATTTAACCTATTTTCCAAACTTAGGCTTATTTATTACGCCACTTAATTATTAATTTAGGCCAACACCTGTGAACGTAATAATATGATTTCAATTAGCATAATCTATTTCAAACAATAAACGGTAAAGAAGAATACTAAAATACAGGCCTACGTTAATAATACATGTATAGTATAAAGTATTCACGCTCTTCACTATCTTCAGTGGACATCATGTCAGTGGGAAACAGACACTTGATTCCCTTGAGGGACATATGTCACCACTACCTGCCATCTTGTTGTCATCTCTCACAGCTGCCCTGTCTCTTCCGTCCCTCAGGAAAGGCACGACAGCAACAGCAATGGCAACCCCCGGCTGCCTCACCTGCCAGCGGTCAGTCAGCACCTCTACAGCCCGTCTCCGTCCCTCTCACACTCGGCCAGTTCGGACTTCCAGCCCCCGTACTTCCCGCCTCCCTACCAGCCCATCTCCTACCCACAGTCCAGTGACCCTTACTCCCACCTCGGCGACCCTTTCAACATCAACTCCATACACCAGTCGCCGTCGTCGAACCAGCAGCAGTGGCCCGGCCGACAGGGCCAGGACGGGCTCGGCGCGCACGGGAGGAGCGGCCTGGCGAGTCAGATCCTGGGCCTGGAGGGAGGCTCGTCCGGGATGAGGAGGGAAGGGTTCCGGCGGCCGGAGCTGCTGCCTCCGCACGCTCACAGCATAGATTCATCGGTCATCGGCGATAACATGGGGATGCACGACATGGGGCACGGACTGGAGGATGTTCAAGTGAGTAGATTTTGATTGAGATGCATGGTTGAAAATACACTTCAGAGGCGAATGTGTGTGTGAAAGTGTGCGTGGGTGCTGCATGTGTGTGTGTGTGT